CTCAGGTCCCGTTGCCCAGCAAGTTTTCACTTGCTGTAGACATCATTCTGGACCCGGAGGGAGAGCTGAGGCTGGGACTCAGCAGCCCCTGTTAGTGAGGCAATCAGAAACCTATGAGCCCTGTGTGAAGCAGGGATCTAAGCCTCAAGACAGCCCAGTCACCTCCACAGCTCCATCTCCTGTAAACTGTTTGCTGCCAAGTAGCCACACACAGGGACTCTCAACTTCAATTCTAATTTAATTTAATATTATTTAATTTTGTAATTTATTTTATTGTCACACTTGTGTTTGTGATTCTTAGTTCTGAATGATCTCAGGGAACTTTCCAACACCCATTCCCCCTCCCCTTGCTCACACTGTGTTTGGTGACAGTGGTAGTGGCTGTCACCAGCCTGGTCTAGGTAGATACAGTGACAAGGTCACATGCTGACAAAGAAACAATGGATGCTTTGTTTACACCAGAGAAATAATAAATATGCTCTTATAAAAGTGACTGGAATTGAGTTCTATTTTATTTCGTGGAAAATCAGAATTACGGATGAAGAGGAATAACAGCAAATAGTAAAAAGATGTAAAATAGAATCCCAGGGTGGAGGGAAGGTTCGAGACAGAGTTTCTATGTACCTTTGGAGCCTGTCCTAGAACTAGCTCTTGTAGACCAACCTGGCCTCGAACTCACAGAGATCTGCCTACCTCTGCCTCCCAAGGGTTGGGATTAAAAGCATGCGCAAGCATCGCCGGCTTAACCAAGCTTTTTTAAGAACAGTTTTGAGGATTGCTCCAAACTCGGTGTGTTTCATACCATGTCCATTTGACCTGGCTTTTTGTTGTTGTTGTTGTTGTTGTTTTGAGTCAGGTCTCACTCTATAGTCCCAACTAGCCCGAAGCTCAGAGATCTGAGTGCCTTTGCCTCCTAATTACTGAGATTAATGGCACGACTGCGCCACATTTCCCTTCCCCTCCCAAAGCTTGTGTATTAAGATATTAGTCCGCAGTACAGCAGTGTTCAGAGGTGATTGGTGATGAGGGCTCTGGCATTGTGAATTGTATTGAAGTCATATTTTAATGGGTTTAGAGAATTGGGTGGGATTTCTGTGATAGCATCAAGACCTATTTCTTCATTGCTTCTCTTCGCATGCCTCTGCCATGATGAGGCCTCACCATTTGACTGAAAGTACCCTGGTCATCTTCAGAAACCATGAGAGGAAATAAACCTTTCTTCCTTTGAACTGAGTTTCTCATGTATTGTCAGGGTGATTGAGAGCAGACTAAAGCACCTGCCAGTGAGGCAGCGCACCTGAGACTGCACAATCAACCATCCACACCTGACAGAAAGGGAAAGCTGGGCTCAGAGAGCTTAAGCAATGCAACATGGTCAAAATCAGAACATAAATGAATGATACAACCAAGTCACCACACTCAACTTTTACTTGCAAACTCTTCTATTCTACTGACTTGCAGCAACCGCCCAGTCAAGCTACCCCAGATCAAGCAAGTCAGAGGTCCAATAGAGAAACACTCCTGGGGCTGGCAGGATGGATAAAGGTACCTGCCACCAAGCCTCATGGCATGGTTTAGCTCCAGGACCTATGGGATAGAGAGAGAACCAACTTCTTCAAATAATCCTCTGATCTCCACATGCACACAAAACGAACAAATGAAAAGTATTTTTTAAAAAGGAGAGGCTACCATTACTGAAGCCTCGTTGTCCCCAAGTTGGCAGGGTTGTAAGTGACATTGTTGCTCTCATGAAGTTCCACCAGCAAAGGGGGCAGTTACTTAAGCCACTTACTTTACCTGCAAACTATGGAACTGTCAATCAACCAGCCATTTCTGTTCTAATCAGGGAAGCTGACTTGAGAACTTTGGGCCCTTTAAATATCTCCTGGCTGTCCAGTGAGTCGCTAGTTCAGCTGCCCAAACCGTAGGAGACCTCAGTTTACCTGCAGAAACTGCCAGAGCTGTCAAGGTCACAGTGGAATCTCCTGCATCAGCTCTAAGCGACATTATGTGGGTGTCTGTGTTTCACTCACCATCATTCCAAGTAACCTGAGATCGCCCCAAAACCTATGTTTGCCTCTAGCAGCCCAGCAGCTTCAGATGACACTGTCTACAGGTGTGTCTCTGTGAATCTTAAGATGTCTTTAGTAGAAAGGGGAGAAACATGTGTTCAAGACAGCTGGAGTGGACAGGACCAGTACAACTTGTTGGACTGGGGAGATTTAGCTAAAGATTTGTGGTTAGCAAGCAGGAGACTATCCATCTGCATGGCTGGTCAAACAAACAGCCCTCCTTGTACATCTAATCCAAGAGACCCCAAAATGTCCTGCAGCTAAGGTCTAGAAAAGTCTCATTCAAGAGGTTTTATTCGTGGCTTGCTGTCAATTATCACTGATAGAGTGGACTGACTTGGTAACACAAAACACAGACAAGGGTAGGGCTACCAGTTCAAGGCTCCTCCAGCAGCTAGAGTGGAGTCAAAGAGGTTCAGGGCATGTCTGGAAGCAGCACATTTAAACTGTGTCTTCAAACAACAGCAGAAGTGCAGAGAAGGTGAGAGACCACAGAAAACGGAGAGAGGCCTCAGAAAACCATGAGACTGCAAAAGCCAAGATCTGTGGTGGAAGCTGACTGACAAAGCTGTAAACATCAGTTCTAAGCCGGTGTTGGGCCAGGCACTCAAGGCAGAGCCTTCCTGACACTGAGGGGCTCCCCTTGGCTGTCTGTTGCTTCCATCTGAATAGAACCAAAGGGCCCAAGGCAGACTGCTAAGACAATGGTGGCTCTCCAAAGGTGGTGCCTGGACAGCTGAGGGAGCATCACCTGGGAACCAGAAACACAAGTTGCAAGGCTTTACCAACCTTTAGGCAGTGGGCCCATCAAGCCGTGATTTCAAGAGCCTCTGGGCCATGATGGTGCACACTAAAACCACTTATGGGCCTTTTCCTAGTCAGACATTCCAGACTTCAGCCAGGGCCATATTTCTCTATGGTAGAGTGCTCTGGCTTTCTCAGGGTGTTTGGTAGCTGTTTTGAGGAGGAAGCCAATCCAAACTAAGCCTGAACTAATGAACCCTATCAGGTACAAAGTGAGCTGTGGTCCCAGGCAACCCAGATGCAGCTTCTGGTTTGGAATTTCTCCCTTAGATGGGTTTCTAGGAAGACAGACAGACCCTGACAGACTTACAGGAATCCTTTTTTTTTTTTTTTTTTTTTTTTGATTGGTGCTCAAGGAAGAGTGTGCTATTGTTGAGAAAAACAAAACAAAACTTCAGGGTCTTTTAAATTTGACTTGCTATCCAATTACTTGTGATGGGTTTTGCTGTTTGCTGAGGTTAATCAAGGTACATATATATCTACATAATTTCATATCAGTTTAAAGTTGGAGAAAGAAAAGAAAGGGAATCTTCCCAAAAGAAGTGCAGGCCTCCCTTCTGGGGGAAGGATATAGAATAGATTGAGGGGTGGGCTCTTGTTCATTTTCTTTGTTGGCATATGAAGGGCATTTGCATTTTGTATGTGATGTATTTATTTCTTCTGTTTTGCGCTGTAGAGCAGAAAAGTTCAATCATTGTGGGCCCTTTATCTTGGAGGTGTTGAGTTGTGTACTTCCTATTGCCTCAGAAGAAACTATTGTCTAACTCTGAAACTAAAGGGACATTGCTATTCTTTCTGGTGTGGTAACTACTAGAAAATGGTGTTGCCCACTTTGGAACACACAGAGGGGACAGAGATGGTCTGTCCCCAGCACCACTATCTTCCACTGGCAGACGGTGGAGGACAGAGAAGTGAGAGAACTTAAAGCAATGAATCACTGGTAAAGATGGCTTGTATTGAGGAACACAGGGGAGTCCTTTAGTAGTGAACACACACTGGGAAATACCTGCAGCTTCCAGTACCCTTCTTTTGTGGGAGCAACATCTACAAAAAAAAGGATTCTATAAGAGTCATCAGATCCCCAGATCCTGGGTGGATGGGTCTTGCTTAAAATGAGTTATAATCTGCACCTTGGGTTTTTCAAATGTGTTACCCTAATGTAAGCTTTTCTCACATCATCACGCCGGTCATAAAGGCTACCTTACAAACACCAGAATTTTTCTTAGCCATTTCTATGTTGTAGATGATTGAAATTACATCCAATGTTAAATTGATGCAAATGGCTGGAGATTACACATGTGTTTGGTCCCTCCCCCAGGGTAGGGTTTTTCTAGGTAGGAAATAAATTCTTAGGTTCAGAATTCCTTGGTCAAAGGCTAAGAACATGAAATCCCATATCTGACAGGGCTTACTGCCATTTGGTTAGAGTATTTTATGTGGGAGACGGGTTTGGGAGAGGCTCCTGGGGAATCTCTCTGGAAGGAGCAGTCATCTAAAAGGCTGTCTGTATTCTCAGTGCCTGCTAGTTCAGCCCTTTGCTGGTACTGCTGAAACCAGGTCGGGGTGAAATCATATGGGTTGCATTCTCCAAGAGTTAAGGCATCTTTGCTTATTCACATCTGTGTGGCTAGAGCAGCTGTGGAATATGAGAGAAGTTCTGTTCTGTGAGGGAAACTATGATTTCAGAACCCTAGTGAGAAGGAGCCCTCGAAGTGTGACCATGGGGATGACACCAACATTTCACCTCCTCGTCCTGTGGAAACCACTTCCCTGTAAACAGCCCAAGTCGAGCGAGCACCTGACCGATGTGTGCAGCCATTCTGAGCCCCGTGGTTACCCAAGACCCCTCTTACATGTACAAGTCAACAGGACACTTCCTCTCTGTCACCTCCCCCCAGCTCCCAGCTGCCCCAGCCCAGGGTTTACCTACTAAGAGACTAGGATGCAAGTTGGCTCCAAGAAGGACGATGGCAAGTGAGTGCCCAGACCTCATCTCATCCTGCCTGTACTCTGAGGTCCTTACTCACTTGCCTCCCATCTCTGTTCCTGGGCCTCCTCAGACAAGTCTTTCTTCAACGGTGATTCATGTCTCTAAGCTTGGGTAAGACCACATCGCCAAAATACTACAGACAAAAGTAGCCATGTTGTGAAACAACTTCCTAAGGGATTTTCAAAATGCCTTAGGCTGTAGGTTTTGGGTGGTTTCCTTTCCAAAAGACTTTAGCTTTCTATTTCCTATATCTCAGAAGAAGGGTTGAATCTTGTCCTGTTTGGGACAGTTGCTTCCCAGCTGCCATCTGAGTAATAAGGTTCCTCAGCCCGTGTCACGTGTGATCTGCAGGGTGAGTCTCTTCTTAGGCTCGAGTTCCTCAGAAGAGCTGGAACAAGCAGCTGGCTATCCATCCACTCAGCGGCACTTCCCGCACTGGGAGGCAGTGACCAGCTGCAAAGCAGAGAAGGAAATGAAAGGGGCCAGATGATTAAACGAGCAACCTCCAATTGCCTTTCAGTTCTCCCCAATCCTCACCCTTGAGCAGCATTGTTCCATCTACTTTCTTATGATTTTATCCTTGGTTTAAAAAAGTACACTATAAAAAAAATGGAAGTGATTCATTTGTCTCAATGAGCACTGCCTTGGGTCCCCCCCTTAGAGTTGGCCCAGACCCTCAAGCATCTGTGGCTTTTTCTGTGACCACACATCGTCCGCCAGCTGGCTCCTAACAAGTTGGTAGGTGGCTGTTAGGAAAGTACTAGGCAAGGCCAGGTAAAAACAGGTCTTCCTGTCCTTCTCTGAGAGAGGCAGGAAATGTAAAGTCGCTGGGAATGAGGGTAGGAGAGTCTGAAAGGCACCCAGGGTGGCTGTAGGTGGGCTTAGGGGATCCTGATCTTTGAGGGTGCAGAGAAAGGCCAGGAGGGGTCTTCTGGCCTGGCCCGAGAGCAGCAGGGAGTCAGGGAGGAGCTGTCTCGGGCAGAGGAAGAAGAATCTGGCTTATGAGACAACCACCGCCACCACTCAGGTCATTTTGGGAAGGTCTAGGGATGATAGGCTGGGGAGACAGTCCTGAGACATTGGAATGACCCTGAGCTTAGCCTCCCAAGCCAGAGGAGATGCAGAGAAAGGTGAAACCAGAAATTCCCTTGCCTATTCCTTAGTCTCCACGGCTTCTTAGTCAAAACTGATAGGTCTATCCCAACTCTACCTGGCACTGGTGTCAATCAAGGACACACAGAACTGGACGCCTGAGTCCTGGAAACAGGAAAAGTGCCAGCTACATCTGTAGACGGGTTAAAGAACAGAGACCCAAGGATGACCTGGTTGCCAAGAAACTGCAGTCTGGATACTTAGCAAAGATTAATTTGCTTAGCCAAATTAACTAAAAATGTATCAGTGCGCGTTAATTGTATAAAACTATGAACTTGACTGGGACATTTTCATCCGTGTGTGACATATTTGATCATATACACACTCCCGTTACCTTCTATTCCCTGATAGGGCCCCATCTGCTTTATTTTTGTCTTTCCCCTCCCGTTATGTTCTGTATATAAGAGAAACATGAGACCCTTGTTTCCAAAGGCTGGCTCTTTTCATTTATTGTGATGATCTCCAGTTCTATTTTCCTGCAAATGGCGTGACTTTGTTCTTCTTTATGGAAGAATAATAATATGTTTATATATATATATATATATATATATATCACATTTTCTTTTTTTGTTTTGTTTTGTTTTCTGAGACAAGGTTTCTCTGTGTAGCCCCGACTGTCCTGGAACTCACTCTGTAAACCAGGCTGGCCTCAAAGTCAGAAATCCGCCTGCCTCTGCCTCCTGAGTGCAGGATTAAAGGTGTGTGGGTCACCATACCTGGCTAACATTTTCTTTATTCATTAGCTGTAGATATACACATAGGCTGATTACAGAACTCGGCTTTTGTGAATAGTGTCGTGATAGACCTGGCTTTGAGGTGCCTCTGCTGTATGCTGACTTAGATACCTTTGAGCTTATACCAAAGGCAGGGCAGCTGAATTGTGCGGTGGTTCCCTTCATTTTAGAAGAATCCCTGTATTGGTTTCCATCATGGCTCTACAGTTCCACCAGCACTGTACCAGGGACTTGGCCTCCATCTCCTCACCCATCTTTGTGGTTTCAGCCATACTGACGGGGCCAAGATGGCGTCTCAGCGTCATCTTGTTTTGGAGTTCGCTGACAGCTAATGATTGAACTTCTTTTTCTGTATTTACTGCCACCGGTATTTGTTTTAAGAAGCGTCTGTCCGGTTTATTTACTCATTCATTGGCTGAGTTATTTGGGAATTTTTTGGGTTAACTAATCTTACTTCCTTATTTATTCTGGATACTAATCCTCTGTTATGTGAAGAGCCCAGCAGAGATGTTTTAGCCCTTTCTGTGTAGCCTGGTTATTGCTACTACTAATTTTGTTGTCATTGCCTTGAGACAGATGTTCTGTGAGATCCAAAGAAGGATCTGCAACAGCTGTGGCATAAACTCATTCTGAACAAGTTTATTAAATATGTAACAAGCAAAGTGAAAGAACACACGGCAAGGAAGCAGATAGAAAGAGCGGAGAGCAAAATACTCGCTGCATCCAGCCAGCTGTCTCTACAGCTGGAGTAGTCCAATGGAGAAAGCGCACAAAAGGTAGTGTCACCAGCATCATTGAACAGAAACAACTGGGACCCCTTTCAAGCGGTCTTACTGTAGGTCCCCATCCAGAGCTCTGGGTCCCAGATGAGCCTCTGCCTTTCCTTTCCCTCACTAGGCACTTTTACATTACGGGTTAAACAACAGCTACATTGTTAGAAATAGTTTAAGTTGTAGCTGCTCTCAGTGACACAATGGTTTTGCTGTCCTCTTCCTGTTTGGGCAGGAGGTGGGAGCCAACCAAGCCTCAGACAAAGGGTTGTGGAGAACACTTGACACAAGCCCTCTTAGCTGTCACAGAGGAGGGGGCAACCCTCCTTCCAGTCCAGCTTTTCAATGAGTTTAAACAGTATTCAACCATCTGCCAATATAAAATACATTATAAAGGGTCTCATGTAGTCTAATTCAGTGGTTCTCAACCTTCCTAAGGCTGTGACCCTTTAATATAGTCCTTCATGTTGGGGTGACTCCCAACCATGGAATTATTTTCGTTGCTACCTCATAACTATAATTCTGCTACTGTAATGACTAGCAATGTAAATATCTGTTTTCTGATGGTCTTAAGTGACCCCTGGGAAAGGGTCATTCGGCCCCCCAAAGGGGTTGAGACCCACAGGTTGAGAAACACTGCTCTTGATTAAACTCAAACTTATTATAGAGTTTAGGTCAGCTTTGAGCTCCCAGTCTTCCTGCCACTCCTCCCTAGGTGCAGCACCGATCTGCATCAGCATGCCCAGGTTGGTCTAAGATCTTCGTAGAGCATGTCTGCATGTTCTAGCTGCTTGCTGAAGAGATTCCAGTAACTGACTATGCCACCCCTCGCCTAGTCCTGCCAATAACAAAGTGGTTGACACCTATGCTGTGTGTAGTTGAGTAATTGTTTGGGTTTTTTCTCTAAGATCTTATTCCAAAGCCACCAACTAACACGTTTATAACTTGACAGTTACCATTTCCGACCCCAGAGGTGTGAGATAATGACTTTTTTTTTTGAATGACCCACTCCTAAGACTGATGATTCTATTGCCTTTGTTCTGCAAATTCAGCATCACTGGTAGGAAAAATGGGGGGAGGGATGAATGAGAAAATCTGAAGGAGGAGTAGGTGACAGGAAATGGCCATAGTTCCTCTAGTTTCAGATTCATGAAACAGATAAAACATTATTTTATAAAACAATGATTATCTTATAAAATACTGTACATCTAGTCTATGATGTTTCTGTACCAGAGAAAGTCAATCTTTTAAAATTGTTAATCTCACCTGTATGGGTGCTTTGCCCGCATGTGTGTGCATGGCTGGATAGTGTACTGTGTTGGACAAGCTTGGTGCCTGTGGAGGCCAGAAGAACCCAGGTCCTCAAAATCCAAGAGCCAGTGCTCTTACCCACGGAGTAGTCTCTCCAGCCCTGACAAATTCAACCTTGATCTTATGAACTTGAGTTTTATTTTTTTTTCTTCTAGATTGACATTTCTAAGAATCCTGCAGCTTTCTTGGTTCATTTCTACATGCCTGTAATCCCAGCACTTGAGAGGCTGAGACAGGAGGATCTCACGTTTAAGACTAGCTTGGACCATGTAGCAAAATCTTCTCTCAGAAAGGAGAAAAAGTTGCATTCCATTTTTAAAATCTATCAATTCCATGAATGACTAAGTACAGAACTAATGGAAAGCTAAATGCTGTCTAAGAAATTAAAATAATTTGTCCAGGATCCATGACCGTGTAGCTCATTAATCACATAACTAACATGTTATACTTAAGTTGCTTGATTGCAACTTTCAGAATCATGTAAAAATGATCATTTAAAATACTGAATTTTAAACAAAATTTCTTAAGTTTGGATCTAGGATTTTTCTCCCAGTTCCCTAAGTGATTTACATGTAGACCAAAAACTACTGGCTTAATCACTCAAGTGTTATGATCATGGCACGAGTGGAACCCTAGCAGGTCCCATGGAGGGTGAGGACCACAGGCAGGAGACAAATATGCCAAACAGACAGAGCTTGAGAGTGGAGATTATTGATAGAAGGATAAAGGGAAGGAGAGAGAGAGAGAGAGAGAGAGAGAGAGAGAGAGAGAGAGAGGGGGAGGGGGGGGGGGGGGGGGGGAGGGGGGGGGGGGGGGAGGGAGGGAGGGAGGGAGGAAGGAAGGAAGGAAGGAAGGAAGGAAGGAAGGAAGGAAGGAAGGGGAGACAGAAAGCTGCCTCCTCAGAGAAAATGGCACAGAGGAGTGGGAGTAGGTGGGGCTTGTCTCTTAAAGGGACAAGGTACTGTCTGCCATGAACGCAGGTGTGAAGCAGGGCACAGGGCATGACACACTGTGCCAGGTTCCCAAGGGCCAGGGCCAAGGTGAGCCTGGACACTAACACTCAAGATTTAACTTTTTTTTTTAAATAAAAAAGCAAACAAGGTACTTCTGGAAATGGGTATGTTTTACAATATTATTTTTCTAAAATCCATGTTCTACAAAAATCAGTGGTTTGCATTAAAGAAAAGACAATTGGCCAATCTATGTGTTAGTCGGCTTTCTATTGCTGTGACTAAATACACGTGATAATCAACTTTAAAAGAAAGAAAGTTTTATTTTGAACTAATTGAGAGATTTCAGTTGCTGGGTGTTAAGTCCTATAGCTCTGGACCTGCGGCAGCATGGTCTATCATGGTGGGAACACATATCAAAAAATACTGACTACTCATATTTTTACCTCAGGAAGCAAAGCCACACTAGGACTGCAATTCCTTAGCCACTTCCCCATAGCATAACAGGCTGGTGAATAAGTCTTTGATCCATGAGCATTTGCGGGAAATTCAGTCAACCTACAGCAATACACAAAAATACTGCTTTTGTTGCCGTCAAATTTCTATTAAACCAGTTGCCTAGATTAGAGCTCACCAACACTGGTCCTCAGAAGAAATCCAGCACATTGTATATTTGTAAATATAATATTTTATTGAAATAGGGTCATGCCTATTCATTCAGTGTTGTGTTTACTTCTTCACTAGCAAGACAGAAATGAACAGCTGTGACAGAAGCTACGTGGATGCAAAGCTAAAAATATTTACAGGTAAAGTCTGAGGATGTAAGGCCTATATTGTGTTTTTAAGTAGAAGAAAATCAGGCAGAGCCAAGATCCTTTTTTATAAAATGCAAAAAGGGCAAAGTCAAGAATATTTCATGAAGTATCCGTATGCAACAAGAATACTAAACTGACATCCTGTAATAATAAGGGGGGGGAGAAAATGGAAGTAAATGATTCTACTAGCATGTGAGTTCACATTGGTTGGGTCCCTTTCAACTTTTTAGTGCGTAAATAGAAGAGACTACTCAGGAGGCTGGAAGACTGTTGAGTGACTGCCCGGGGAGATGAAGAATTAACGTCTGTTTCATCCAAAACCGGTTCTCACAGAGAAAGAACAAAGAGCAACTTTTCATGCTACACAAGTTACTTTCCTCATTGCTGTGACAAGAAGCCCGATGAGGAGGAAGGGTGTGTCTTGGCTGACGGTTTGAGGAGACACAGCAGAGACTGATACCAGCTCTCAGTCAAGCTTCTCCTTTCGGTGCAGCTCAGGGTCCCAAACACATGCAGGGTGGGTCTTCCCGCCTCCATTAACCTAATGTAGAGAATTCCTCACAGAAATGCCCAGAACCTTGTCTCTTCAGTGAATCTGGCTCCTGTCAAGTTGACAATCAGTGTTAGCCATTGTATAAATTCCTCTGGATAAGTAAAATGAGTTTCTTGGGAGTTTCTTACAGAGCAGTGGAAAACTCGAAATGGCAGTATTTTCCTGAAGTCACCAGCCACCCTACCTACTAAGCTCTTAGTTTCAATGGCTGTGACTTTGCAGCAGGGTTGGTGCGAGCCTAGGTTCAGAGCTTTGAGCTAGCTAGCCTTAAAGCTGCAGAGGTGACAACAGGCTGAGGCAAACCAGACTCTAGCGGTGACATGTCTCAGTGTGCTCTCTCCCTGCCCTTACGGGACACTTTGCTGACCTCAGCAAACACTGTCTGGCTGTGGGAGGCTTGCTTTGCTTCAGTCTGGCAAGTAGTTCAGCGGCATGGAAGCTTGTTGAAGATGGAGCTTACCCTGGCTAATATTTGGGGGTTCATCTCACTACCAGGAAGCTCATGTGACCAATTATGGCCAACCCATGAACTGGAAGCCTGAGTAAAATGTGTCACTTCTGAACCAACACAGTTAAGTCAGTGCGCCTTTCAAGTCCTTCCCCTCACAGAGTCTGCAAGTGAAGATGGAGCATCCTGAAGGCCCGAGTCACCACTGGGAGGAGAGCCGCTATGAGCTGGGGATCACACAGAGTAGTCCTTGGTCCCACTGTAGCAGCATTGCCCAAGTGCTCACTAGAAAGACAGAAGCTTGAGCCATGTCCCAACCTGTATCCTGGGAGAATTCTGGGACTCTTTTGACACAAACCCTAAAGAGGATTCTGGTGTAACTGAATATTGAAACCCAATTACCTAACCCACATAGATCATACGTGAACAGGAAACTTGTATATATAACAAAAACCTGCTGGGTTCTGCTACCTGGGCTAGCCTAACCTCCCCTGACCCTTGTAGAGTAGACTACAGGGTACTTAGTTTTCTCCTGTCATTGGCTCCGCCTGAGCATCTCTGGCTTATTCATCACTTTCTGGTCACAAGCAGTCAAAACTTTCCTTCCAATTAACATTTTCAAAATTTTGAGAGTTAAATTCTCAAAATTTATTTAACTTTACTACTTCTCCTATTATTATTGCTATCATCGTCATCATCATTTTGTGTGATACACATGCATGGGCATGCGCATGCCAAGTCGCATGTGTGGTGTGGAGGTGAAGGACAACTTTGTGGAAGGATTCCAGGGATCAGATTCAGGTCGCCCTCTGATTTGAATGCTAATCCATCCCCCTCTAGAAACACCTCCCAGACACGCAGGGATAACGTTTTATGTAGGTAATACTTAGCTCTATAAAGTTGACACCGTAGACCTAACCATCACAACAAACAATTGTGGTCTTTGTGAAGGTGCAGCTGGTGTACAACAGTCAGGGAGCAATCACATCAGCCCGCCCTGCCCATGACACTATTCCACCAGCCAGGGGTGATGTGGGGATGGAAATCAATAACCAGGAGAAACTAGAGGATAGCCAGGTCTCAGGGAGACTCCCAAACCTGCTGGAGACGTACGCTGTGTATGGAGCTGTGTCTCTCATTGGCCATACAGCAGAATTAAAGCCCACAGGTCTCAGGCACTGAAGCTCCGAAGAAACTGCCCTGACTTGCCTCCGACTCAGTCCATATTGTAAACCTGTTGTGGTTCTCGGTGTTGATTTCCTTTAATATCCCCGGAGGAGACCTAAAGTTACCTGGTCCAGGTACAAATGAAGTTTGTGACTTTGGGAGTAAGCACCAGCATTGGACTTGGGGAAAGATCCTGACTGACTTGAATGTGAGCCCGACTTTGGAATTAGCTCTCTACAGTTAAGCCAACCCTTTGGGCAGGTGTCTGCATCAGGAAACAGGTGCCTGCATAAGAGGTATTCACTCCAAAGAGGGTGGCTGGGGACAGTGCAGAAAGACCCAGCAATTTCTATATATTCTGAATATTCATGAGGCATATATATATATTATCCTTAAAGTTTTCATTCTGTATTTTCGTTTGCCACCTGAGCCTCACCACAGAGACGACTATGGAAAACGTTCTCCTAGGAAACAAAGTGCACTGCAGGGGATATTGCTATGCCTCTGGGGCAACGACCAGCAGGGAGTGTTCCCTCCTGCAGGTGGGTTTGCTAGGCTGGCACTAATATTAGCAAGCACTGGACACAGAACCCCGCACCTCACAAGTTCTCAACAAACGTCAGCTGTTGCTCATCCATGGAAACATGCTTGTGTGCACACACAGAATACGCCACTTTGGAAACATGCTTGTGTGCACACACAGAATACACCACTTTGGTATTCATTCCAGTGGAGCGTTTCTCTAGACCAGTGGTCCTCCACCCCTTAATACAGCCCCTCATGTCGTGGCGACCGCCCCTCAACTATAAAATTATTTCAATGCCGCTTCATAACTGTAATTTTGTTACTGCTATGAATTGGAATGTAAATATCTGTGTTTTCCAGTGGTCTTAGGTGGCCCCTGTGAAAGGGTCATTTGATCCCCCACCTAAGAGGTCACGACCCACAGGTTGAGAACCGCTGCCCTAGACCGTGTCAATTATGATCCACTTTATAAACTACTGAGGTCAGCTTCAATTTCTCAGGAAAGCATTCCCTGGGAAACATGGCTTGCTGTTGTGAGCTCATATTTCCATGTCCTCTTGCAGTATCCCTGTTCATCTGTGATTCTGATTTGTGAGGAAAACAAAATCAAGAATAATCATAATGAAAAATCTCTCTGGCATTTTATTGAAGCACCTTTAATGTGCTAAACGCAACACCAAGTCAAGCTATTCAATAAGCATTTGTTGCTTCATATATGTGGTTCAAATTCTCCCTCAGAAAGCTAATCACACTCAGTGATTGGTAGAGGTTGTCTGAGAAGAAGCTGAAGGGAAGGGGGAAAGGACGAAGAGCAAACCATGAGATATCCACACCGTGGTCATTGCATAATACCTTTTCAAAACAAAAATATGGTGCAAGCACAAAATGAGATACATAAGCAAGACTAAAGTCAAAGAGGAACCTAGAGGCTGGGTAGGCTTTAGGGTGGGGCCACAGAGGAGAAGGCTCTCAGAACTGCACAGTCAAACATCTCCTCATTTGACCCATAGATGTTACACTTCCTTGGAGCCTCCAGACCCTTCCAGAGTTCGGTTCCGGGTCAGTGATGTTTTCCTGGACCCAGTACTGACTGGGGTCAGCACAGATCTGCCAACCTCTCTGGACCTGGAAACTGCAGAGAAGGGCAGAAAGTGGACCCTTAAGGACATCCACAGGGGACCCCTATATCCTTCTCTTCCCATACGTCTCAGGGCCTGACTTCGTGTTTTCCCCCAATCTTAGGGATTGTGGATCTGCTCTAAGCATCTGTGAGGTCTTTGGAAAGCCAGTTTCCTTCTGGCATCCCATCTTCGCAATGCCCAGGGAATATGCAGGTCCTCGGCCAGGTCTGAACACCCAAGAGCCTCCCTGATGGGCCTTAGGGAACCATAGAGCCCCTCCCAGCATCCTGGTCATATGATAGCCAGTCATAATCTCTGTGGGATCTTCCGTGAACTCATCAAGAAGCAGCAGGCAGGTCTGTTAGGGATGTTTTCTGTGAGAGACAGAACAAGAAAACCTAAGGAACCATGCAGCGGAAGAGATCAGCTAGCCACTCTGTGCCCTCGCCTTGAGGAATGGGTAGAAGTGTGTGCCAACAGTACTCACGGTGAGGACAAGGGGAGCTGACATCTATTGCATGACATTTTATTTAGATATATCTATTTTACTTTCTTTTGGGTGTTTCTTGTTTTTTTGGTTTGAAACTCTACATCTCTCTATAGAGAATTTCGTTTTTTGATCAAATTTCTTCTGCTTCTCATTGAGAAATGCCTGAATCTCACAGGAAAGTCAAGGACCTGCCAGATTGCTAGGAGCTAGTTGAACCCAACGTTTTTCTTGTCAAAATCTGTTGGGCTTCCATTTCCCATTCGGAAACTAGGACATTCACTCCCTGTGGCTCCCAGAACAAAATAGAATTGCTAAAACCTTCTCAAAGGAGAATTCCCTGGGAAATGATCTAGAAGTCCCTGGGGGTTCCCCACTTGGAGGGTGTCAAGCACATACTTGGGCATTGTGGCCCCAGCCATAGCCAGACACAGGCATGAAGGAGGGTCTCACAGATGAGAAAGAAGAGGGTTTCAGTGACGAACATGCCTCCTGGGTCTAAGACATCGACTCTCTTTATAGGCACCCCGGGATTTGGAAGGTGAAACACCGGGGAGATCAAGAGGGACTTTTAACCATGTTACTGGCTCGGGTCACCGCAAAGTCTCGGGCAGTCTGTAAGCCTGGTTCAGCAGATTACTCACTGGGGGAACGGTTTCCACAGAGAGGAGGTGTGATGTTGGGTTGCTGGGTAGCTGGGGACTTCTCGTCAGAGCAGATCTGCATACCAAGCTCTTTCCACAGAGCCTCCTGGTAGCCTCTCCAGTTATCCCAACCGTGCCATGTGCCACAGAGGCTAATGCCACAGAGTCCTGAAAAGCACAACCCAAGCCAAGGCCATGCCTTGCATGGAGAGAGCAGAACTAGGGAAGCCACAGCTGCAGGTGAAGCAAGGTTGAGGGTGGCAACGGGTATGGTATGTCATGTCTGTAATCCTGGCACTTGGGAAGTAGAAGCAGGAGGGCTGCAACAATTCATGACCAGTGTGGTATATGTATATATATATATATGTGTGTGTGTGTGTGTATGTATGTATATATATATATATATATATATGTATTTAGAGAGACCTTTTTCCGAAAGAACATAAGTGGGCCCCATATCAATGCAGGTTCATATTATAATTCAGAGTCAAAACCCACAACAGCTTATAATAAGAAACTGACTGCTTTGATGAGTTAAGCAGTTATTTAAAGGCTGAGTTTATCACTCCTTTTCTTGCTTTGAGACAGAGTCTTGCTCTGTAGCTCAAGCTGGCCTCAAACTTGCCCAAACACGCCATCCTCCTGTCTGTGCCTCTGGAATGCTGGGGTTATAGGCTGAGTTCATTGTTCTTACGGCTTTAGCCTGGCTCCCTTACTGGTCAACATATTTTTTTTCCTTAGAAGCATCCAAGTTACGTGACCTCACAATCCTTCTTGCCCAAGATGTGGTGGGAATGTTATTTCTGTCGCCCAGTCATGATGTCATCACCACGTACATCAGCCTCTGTGGTGAGGGAGGCGTTATCCCAGCACGGGTCAGAGTTTGGCTCTGTGGGAGGGAGCATTCATCTGTAGATCCGCTGTGTACTTACTGCTATCAGCCGACATCCCACCTCCTGGCACTGTGGTCAGTGTTTCCATACAGCAGGACTTGAAAAGTGAGCAGCTCAGCTCCTCTTGTTCATCCTGACCGCGTAGTCCTCCCCGTATCCCAGAGTGTACAGCACTAGGCAATCCTCTGGTCAATCCTAGCTTTTGACTCCTCCTAGTCCATATTTGACTAGGGAACATGGCTGGAGCCCCAGGAGGGTGCAGTCTGTATTGAGAGCCTCACCTTGGCTCTACCCACAATCCTCTGCGAGCTGGACTTCACACAGCTGTTTCTGTTGACAGCCTCCTCGCTGCAGCCTTTAGCTTAGCCCAGTGGTTCTCAACCATCCTAATGCTGTGACCCTTTAACGCTGTGACGCTTTAACACAGTCCCTCATGCTGCGGTGACCCCCAGCCACGGAATTATCTTGTTGCTATTGCATAACTTTAATTTTGCTAGGTAGGGGTCATAATGTAAATATCTAAACGCGACCCCAGCCCACAGGTGGAAAACCGCTGGCTTAATCTCATCCAGCTCTTGAAGCTCTCTTAAAGCTTGGTCTTCACTTTAAAGTTGTTTCTTATGCTCTGGTCAGATATTTGAACCATATGTAATCAGGATATATTACATTAAAATAACTTATTTTCAGTAAAAGAATAAAATCTTAAAAAAAAAGAAAAGAAACCCCTTTGTTGGCACCGCTGTGGCAATGGCGGTAGAGGCAGCTGTGCATTGCATTGAACTGTGGAGACCCCACTGAGAAACGCCCCCTCCACACTCCCGGCTGGTGATGTCCAGGGACCCAGAGGGTCGGAGAGACTAGGAGATGGCGAGGGAAAGGTCTCTGTAGGGATCTTTGTGCTGTCAGCTACAGCCTGGATATAAAATGGTAATGTAAGACGATAGAGCGGGGTGGAGGACGCAATACACACGCCTGCAGCAAAAGGTCAAGAGAGACGTTTTATAAGTAGAGCACGGTTGCCCACTGCAAGCTCAAATGCACCTCACAACGAGGAAGAAAGCAGCTGGGCACTTCGAAAGATCATCACCATAATCATAATTTATCAAGAGCTCTGTATTTTTTGGTACCAAGTCCATACTAGGAATTCGTGCTAATCCCCTATTAAATATTGTCTCTGTTCATCAGAGAGGCTCAGCAAGCTGGATACTATTTGGCTCACTGCACAGGTATGAAAAACAAAGCTAAGGAAAGATAATCTATTTACCTAGGCTTACCCAGCCGAGGGTGCTCGAGTGTGAGCGGGGCACCCAACACAGTGGCTTCCGATTCACCTTCGTCATAGACTCTGTGACCCTTAATAACCTTGAGAGTCCGCATTTATAACACCATATCTTGATTTGTTTTGTGGATGAAGTGAGTTGATGCTTAGCAACTCTTTAGAACACACAAAAGAATCTTGTCTTCATTTCTCCTTCATGTAGTACGAATACTTAGGTGGGAACAAGTCTGCGTGCTATTCTTCAGGCTTAGCAAGAAAAGGAATCTCTTGCTGCCGTATTAATATTTGTTCTAGTTCAGGTATTAAAAATATCTTAAATATTTCTATCATGGACATCTCATTCAGCTTGATAACAGCAGAAGATGTTAGTAGTCAACCCTTTCAGCCTTCATTCTCAACAGGTAATTCTCAAGTCACCTATTTTCCGAAACACCCTACACCTCTAACTCTCCCCTCTGCTCCATCCCTGACGTGTCTAGTGTAGTCCAGCCAGCATCACCTCTCATCTGCATCCAGACGGAGCTTCCAGCTACATGAGGCTCTTTCTCCAGTTCTTTCCCTGGAGATAATGCTGGGCTTGAAACACTTCAGTTGTATGTCTTTGCTTTCAGGAGAGAAACAAATTATTTATTCTGCTCTCCAGTGTCTAGTGCAGCACAGCCTTCGCCCTTCCTTCCATCTCCTCTGCCCCGTTTTCCAACTCTCCAACCAACTCAGATTTAGTTCCCAAATTCATTAGCTTCTTCTTGTGATCCCCCCAGTGAGCTGCTTCCTGGTGAAAGGTAATGACTTCTGTCCATCAAAATAATGATATCCATATGGACATTTTAAAAAGTATCAAGACTGCTTTTAAGCTATTTATAAGGTAAACAGTAGGCTGGTATAACCAGTTAAGTGAAGAATTCAGACACAGCTTTATACAAAGAAAAATCCACAGGAATCCACTAAAAATTACTATTCCTAATAAATGGATCCACCAAGGTTACAAGATTCTAGACTTTTGCATATTCAAGAAGTCAAACATATTTCCACATAATACCAACAAAAGTTCCAATGTGAAATTGAGTTTTGTTTATAATAACATCAAATTGAATAAAATCCATATGAGAAAGGAGAACCAAGAGGGTGGCGGATACACGTGGCACAAAAGCAGAAGTGAGAACTCCTTGAAGGGTGGAGGAGAAGCAGCCAGAGGGGAAGCAGAGGACACAGGAGAGGACAGCAGGAGAGGGAAATGGCTCTGAACAAGTCATAATGATGCATACGCACAAAAATGCTATACCTAAGTCCACTACTCTGTATGCTGACTCTAAAATTAATTTTAAAATGAAGTACAAGATTTGGATACTGAAAACTAAAAGAGAAATGGAAAGAAATTAAAGAAAAGTTAAGTAAATATAATGATAGCCCATATTCATGAACTTGAAGACAATCTTATTAAAATGATGGAGTTCCCCTAATCATGCTACAGAAGCAATGCAATTACTATCAGAATCCTAGCTTCCTCCTGCCCCCAGAAATTGACACACTCAGCATAATCTGTGGGGAGACAGACAGACCCGAGACTTTCTCAGAGGCTCCAATGAAAGACGACAAGGAAATTTTGGTTCTGGGTCCTTGTCTAGGAACATACTCAGCTTGCAGTTTCACAAAGAAAACAATTGTCTTTCTTTGGTCAGGATCTCTTTTCGGATTCCTTATGCTTCCTTGATTGGTACGGCTCTCCCCATACATTGTATTTTGTCTTTTATCGCCTAACCATTTATATCTCAGTGTGAGCCAGGGGACCAGAATCTCCTGGATATTCTATATGGAATTTTGTATTTACAGTATGAACTCTTTTGTCTGGGCTGTTAGGACAAGCAGCTGATCTCTTATTCAAAGTGGAGAAAAGTAAAGAATGTCACATTTAAGGCTGGAGAGGTGGCTCAGCTGTTCTGAGCACCTGCTCTTGCTGAGAAGCTCTCATGGCCATCTGTAACTTCAACTCCAGGGGTCTGGTGCCCCCTTCTGGCCTCTGCAGACACTTCAAGCGTGTGGTGCACATGTATCCATGCAGACAAACACACATCACACACACACACACACACACACACACACACACAAATACATACTTTAAAAAATGTTACATTCATATCTGTTTTGCAGAAGTAAGAGTTTTCTGTGTTGATTTTTACATAAACCACAACAACAACAGAGTGAAGTCTGCCCACTTTCAGTTTGCGTTGTTTCAAAGTTCTATGAGAACACTAATACCCTAAGGCGTAGGCATATAAATTCCAGGCCAGGCTGGGCTATGTAGATGGTTTAAGGAACTTGCCTCTACATAGATAGATAGATAGATAGATAGATAGATAGATAGATAGATAGATAGACAGACAGACAGATAGATAAAAAGAATAGAAAAATCCTGTTCAACTCCTGAATCATAGGACAAGAACCCTAAGACACTTGTGAAATACCTTGATGGCAAAATCCCAGGTTTTCATTTCGCCTTTTAGTTCCTGCCATCTCTGCCGCACACTGAATATAATAGCAATTATTTCCATAGTTCAGTTGTATTGAACTATTCTAAATCATTCAAGTGTTCAGATTCGTTCCCATAGAAACAATAATTTTCCTGAACTAACGTTTTATGTCTTCATATAAAATGCACTGTGTCAATATACAATTAAATTCTAAGAACAAGAAATGTGCATACCTTAGAGCTAGGCCCATCTCACCCCAGGGAAGGAGCCAGCTTGACTGCTGCGCGCGCATTTCTGTTTCCCAGCCCATGTACAGATCTTTCTTATTTCCAATCTGTCATGAACTTAATACTTTTATAAGGAAAAAATAAACAAATAAAAGGCACATAAAGTACAATCCCAATCTTAAAAGTTAATTTTAGAGACAGCAAATAAAATTATATTTCAGTAAATATTGTTAGAAGTATAGTATAATACAAAAAGATAAAATTTGTTCATGTTCATTAAAAGCATGCAGTCATAAAATCACTATTGTGCTTGTTAATTTTCCAATTCCCATTATAACTAGACAGAATGTTAGACTGAAAACTGATTACCCCAGTTGAATGCCTCTATGCGTGCTGTGAATACATGCCGTTCTATCGGTGCAGTTGTCCTTGCAGATTGGTTTCCTTCCTGCTCATTTGGCCTGTCTGCCAGCGGTGGGGATAGCTGGTAGCTCACCTCAGGGCTGAGGATAGCATACACTTAGGCTGTTTGAGATTCTAATTTAGTGACGTCCATACCAGAGAACTTACGAAGGGACGCTGAGGACAATGGAAAGGGTATCTGGTTTTAGTCTGTGTGAAATGGGCATGCTAAGGCAGTTTCAGCTCAGAAAATGCATTTAAATTTTTTTCCAAAATAAAGCCCTAGAAAACAGATTCCAATCCATCTCCAAACCTCCGCCAGTTTCAAAGATTATTTTACACAAATATGGGTAAGTTTAGAGGACCTTTCCTCTAAAAAAGGGTTTCCAGTTTTAATATTTTTTATATTACACTTGACAAGCTAATATAAGATTAATCTCTTATAGTTGCGGTTGACAAACTAGCCTTAGATTCTCACCATGCTCAGCTTGGTTTCTTGGAGCATGACTAGGTGATGATTGGCCTGATAGGCACTCACTTGCAAGGCGAGGGTTTGCTGTTCAGGGACCCGAGTGATATTCCTGCCCGATGGCTATGCACACTTTCACAAATATTATTTTTATTTTATATGTATTGGTATTTTGCCTGCATGTGTATCTGTGTGAGGGTGCTGGATCATCTGGGACTGGAATTATAGAGAGTTTTGAGCTACCATGTGGGTGATGGAAATTGAACCTGCGTCCTCTGGAAGAGCAACCAGTGCTCCTAACCACTGAGTCATCTCTCCAGCCCCTGGCTGTGCACACTTGTGCACCATTTATGCACTGGCTTCATCTGGTAACAGTTCGCAGACTGACTCCTGTCTGTGGCCCACACTTACGATAGCCCTGTGCTCAGTTGGAGTCATCCCCGTTTCTCTCTAGCCAGCAGAGTGTACTGGGTAACCCGGCAGCATGGGTAGACAGAGGTTGGCTCAGAGACCCACTCCTGAGGAAAGCCACTGCCTCCCCAGAAGGTTCAGATCTTTCATGAGATTCTCTGACTTAACAAAGATTAGAGCCAGAGCACTCGCCCTTCCTGATTTTGCAACTTACCACAAAACTACAGCAATGGAGATGGTGTGGTTGAGACATAAGGACCAAGATTTTGATCAATGGAACAGAATTAAGAGTCTAGAACCCCTTACACTTACAGCACATTTCCCCTCTCTATATAGCACATATATTTTAAACAAGTATGAAGCCAAGCCAGGGGTGTGGGGAAGGAGGAGAATCCCTTGAGCAAATGTTGCTAGAACATTTGGGTATTCATAAGCAAAAGAAAAATAACTCAATGGAGAATCCATACACACACTTTTACTAGTCATCAGGAAAGCTGAAATAAATTTACAGACTGAACCAGATTTGTTCTTTCCAGATGGAACTTTCTTACCTTTCTACCTCAGTGTAAGTTTCTCCCATTTACAGGTTCCTACGATAATTCTAAGACAATGAAAGGGGCAAGTCTTCATAGAACAAGAAAGACCAAAGGGAAATCCGAGGACTCGCATTGGTCTTTTCTGGGGAGCGTGGGACTCCCTTCAAAGTCTTGCACATTTTTTCCTCAACTCTCCTTTTGGGGGGGCTCTCTCCTACTCTGACCCTAACTTACTTCCACTCTGAAGCTCTTAGGTTAAAAGGTGGGTCCCAGGAGAAGTCTTCCCTGCCCCTGAAATCCACTTTTAGGGTTTTCTGGTATCGTCTCGCAAAGCACCCTGGGCTTTTCCTTCCAGCCACTCAACACGGTTTGTGATTTAAGTGTTTCACATAACCATGCCTTTGCCATCTAACTTTCATGAGAATGTATATCCCTTTCATCCACCACAAGATTCTAATTTTCTAGTTCTGGTCTCAATAACCATGAGCCAGTTTTAATCAACCATTCAATCCATTCACTAATCAATAAGCCAAACGGCAATAAACATGTTATTCTGTTATTCTCAACATTTTATTCTGAATTATGATTTGGAAGGAAAAATGAGCTTTTTGTTTGGATTTCATTTTTTAAGCTTTGCCTTGTTTAATATCCAAGCAGTAATGTGTATACTTTTCATAAAGACTTCGCATTTGATGTTTTGTTTTTATTGTTAGAATAGAAGCGAGTTAGATTTTTCTGGTATTTTGACCAGCTCTTTTTCTGTACGGTTTAGGTCTAGTTCTGTAAATCAGGAAATAAACAGCTCTTAAAGCTAATATTAATTGCTTTTTAAATCCTACATACAAAGAGTAGAGGCCCCACTTGCAACTAGCCCCCAACTGAAAATAATGTACTGTCTTTTTCTGAGTTAACATATGCACAATGATATTTCTAAACAGGGGCATATGTAAACCAACAGGAAGATTTGTGATGGAAAGCAGGAAAGGATCAA